GATACTTTGGGTGGCCTTTCAGAATAAGAGGTATATTGCCAGATGCGACTCGAAATGCTGATTCCAAATCTACCTTACATATTTGGAAAAATAGCATAAAATCTGTCGTTAATTGCCTTAAAACTTTAAAATCCCTGGACGACAAATAAAAACTGATTTTTGGTGGAGAGATTCACTCAATTAAACTCTCGAGCTTATACAGCTCTTGTTCATGGCGAATTTGAAATGACTGAGCAATAAATGGCATAGTGAAGCGCATAGTGTAAGCTAGTTCTCGTGCAAAAAAAGTTTCATAACTCGGAGAAGTTTAGCAGATTTGGGAGTTAGATTCTAAGCTTTTCAAGTCGCATTTGGTAATATGCCTCTTATTTCTTTGAGATGTCAAAACGCTATATGCATAATTACCCTTTTTCACTACCGCGCGCATAGTGATTAGCAAACCGAACTGTACTTAATATTGTTCTGCCGAGTCTCAGTTTTTACTGCGAAGCATGCATCGTTAGTCACCAAGATGGCTTGTTCCTAGTGAGCTAGTGTGCGAAGTCAATATCAGAGCGCCAAGCCAATTTTCCTGTTAGAGAAGCCAAGAGAAGCGCTAACGCTGGATTTAGGTTTATCAGTGCAATCAGCCTCCAAGGATTAATGATATTTTCTTGTCATTCCGTGTAGTTTTCTCGTTACATTTATGTTTCGATTAACAACGATGATGGTAGGAAATGAAGTGCTGAAAAAAAGCACACCATATTAAGTTTTGCAGTCGCACTACCCGATCATGACGAGTAGCGCCAGTTTTTTCTTTCAATAGTTTTCCTTCGAGATCATTATTCCATCCTTTAGCCTGCCTAAAGAGGTCATCGCTATACTGACGTTGCTATTAATGGACCTCACTGTCACATCAAAATATTCCTTTTGCTTTTTTCCAGATGCTTTGCGGGTGGTAAGAATACATGGATTTTTTAAGACCTTCGGAGATTTTTGCAAACATATGACAATACTCGTAATTGATCAGCTGTAGACTGTTTTATGCTTTTTTTGTTTTTAGGAGGTGATCTCATGATGTTCATATAGCTGAGGTAGCTTCTAGGCAAAAAATGCTGTTTTAGCTGAGACTTTATAGGAAAAGTTGATTATCCCTCATCTATGTAGCGATAAACTATTTGACGTTGAAACGCATTTTGTGGTTCAATTCCCAAATTTTGCATTAATGTTATACAGTGGATTAAATGGAGGAAAAGAAAATTCATGTTTCAGGAAAGCACTTGTTTGGAGACGAATGCCCATGTCAAAGTTGATGAGTACGGGTTCTTTCTTTACTGGCTTGTAGAAGCTAGAGATGCAGTCGTCTTGGACATGGGCCAGGTATGTCCATAGGGTTGAATGGGCTGCGAACTTCCCAATAGGCTTAATTACTGTAAATTTACGCTTTTGAAGGTTTGGGAGGCGCGTCCCTCCGGATTACCCAAAGACGGACGCGTGCTTTTTGAACTTGAGCAACGAGGGTCTCGAGAGACCCTCGAAGAGAGAACAATATGGATCACACATGGTCAAGATCTCGTCAATGTTCAAAGTTTCTACCTTGTCGCCGAAACGGTTGAAATTGCTAAGGCAAGTTTGTAGCACTTACCTTGAAAAATGCACCCCTCTATTCACTATTCCTGCTAGCTTATGTCCAGTCTTCAATTTCAGGCGTGGCGAATAGGCATAAATGACATATTGAAGAACTGCAAAATTCGACATGTTTGTCCAACGACAAACCTGCTTAGATAGTAAGTTGTGAACTTTGATAATTTCGCTTTTT